ATGGGGACCAGAAACTGTTTGGTTACCCACATATTTCAAGGTACACTCTTAAAAATAAAGGTGCTTCAAAAGGTTCTTCAAGCGATGCCATAGAACAGGGGTGGTGAACGTCGGTCCTGGAGAGCCGCAGCCCTGCAGAGTTTTGCTTCAACCCTAATCAAACACACCTGAACAAGCTAATCAGAATCTGAAAGGTTATTAGGAAGCTACAGGCAGGTGAGCTTAAATTAGGGTTGGAGCTGAGCTCTGCAGGGCTGCGGCTCTCCAGGACCGGAGTTCGCCACCCCTGCCATAGAAGAACCATTTTTGGTTCCACAAAGAACCATTCAGTCAAAGGTTCTTTAAAGAACCATCTCTTTCTTACCTTTTTGTAATCTGAAGAACCTTCTTTCGCCACAAAGAACCTTTTGTGAAACAGAAAGGTTCTTCAGATGTTAAAGGTTCTTTATGGAACCATTTAGACAAAAAGGTTCTTCTATGGCATCGCGAAGCACCTTTATTTTTAAGAGTGTTTCACAGAGGTTTGGAGCAACTTGAGAGTGAATAAATGATGACAGAATTTACATTTTTGGGTGAACTATCCCTTTAAGGTCAGGTCATGACTATATGACCTTCATGTTAAGAGACAAAGCTCGACTCTACCTCCTTTCTTACCAGCATCTGCAATATTTATGTTTGAGTGCAAACGGTTGTTGCTTGAATTGTCTCCAATGCTGAGGCCTTTTCACAGGCTACCAGTATCTGTTCTGGGCCAACACTATTCTCAAGGGTCTGGCACTTCACTCTTTCAAACTTCTATCAAGCTGTACACCCCAGTTCAGTCACCTCATGATGTACAGCCCACTTTGATCTCTCTACATGAGGAGCTCTTGCAGAAAAACACTGCACTGTTGCACTGGTAAGAAAGCACCTGATACCAATTGTGCTGGATAATTCCTTTTAATCATTTTATTTGAAAAGGTTACTGCTGAACTTTCCAGAAATCATATTTTCCCACTTCAGGTCCAAAGTATCAGTAAAAGTGATGTCATAAAAATTAAACTGTCATTTTAATGGGGAAAATATCACTGCATATAATGGAACTGAACAGAAAGTGCAGTGACATGGACAAAAATCCCATAGACTATATATAAAGTGAAGGTATGATACTTTAAACAAAATTGTGGTAAATGGTCTACAATAGTCATGAATGTAAAATGCCTAGCAGTGTTTTATTTTAAAATTGCATAAAAATACTACATTATAGCTTAAGTATTTTGCATTACACACTAAGTCATTTCTGTCTAATATGACTGTATCCTATTCATATATTCAATTAGTAGTAAGTCATGATGAGAATATACAGCACAAAAAATAGCAGTTTCCTGTGAATGACTCATCTGATAAATTATTGCAGATTGTCATTTGTGCATGTATATACAGTGGGTACGGAAAGTATTCAGACCCCCTTAAATTTTTCACTCTTTGTTATGTTGCAGCCATTTGCTAAAATCATTTAAGTTAATTTTTTTTCCTCATTAATGTACACACAGCACCCCATATTGACAGAAAAACACAGAATTGTTGACATTTTTGCAGATTTATTAAAAAAGAAAAACTGAAATATCACATGGTCCTAAGTATTCAGACCCTTTGCTGTGACACTCATATATTTAACTCAGGTGCTGTCCATTTCTTCTGATCATCCTTGAGATGGTTCTACACCTTCATTTGAGTCCAGCTGTGTTTGATTATACTGATTGGACTTGATTAGGAAAGCCACACACCTGTCTATATACGACCTTACAGCTCACAGTGCATGTCAGAGCAAATGAGAATCATGAGGTCAAAGGAACTGCCTGAAGAGCTCAGAGACAGAATTGTGGCAAAGCACA